CGTAGTAGTAGTAGTAGTAGTAGTAGTAGTAGTAGTAGTAGTAGTAGTAGCAGTAGTAGTAGTAGTAGTAGTTGTAGTAGTAGTATAGTAGTAATAGAGTTCAAGTCGTAGTATAGTATAGTAGTAGTTAGTTATAGCAGCAGTAGTAGTTAGTAGTAGTAGTAGTAGTAGTAGTTAGTAGTAGTAGCAGGAGAGTAAGAGTAGTAGGTAGTAGCAGCAGCAGCAGCAGCAGCAGCAGCAGCCAGCAGTAGTAGTAGTAGTAGTAGTGGTAGTAGTAGTAGTAGTAGTAGTAGTAGTAGTAGTAGTAGTAGTAGTATTAGTAGTAGTAGTAATAATAGTAGTAGTAGTAGTAGTAGTAAATAGTAGTAGTAGTAGTAGTAGTAGTAGTAGTAGTAGTAGTAGTAGTAGTAGTAGTAGTAGTAGTAGTAGTAGTAGTAGTAAGTAGTAGTAGTAGTGTAGTAGTAGTAGTAGTAGTAGTAGTAGTAGTAGTAGTAGTAGTAGTAGTAGTAGCAGTAGTAATAATAATAGTAGTAGCAGTAGGAGTAGTAGTAGTTGTAATCGTAGTAGAAGTTGTAATAATAGACGTTGTAGTAGTAGTAGTCGTAGTATTCGTAGGAGTCGTAGCAGCAGTAGTAGTAGTAGTAGCAGTAGCAAGTAGTAGTAGTTAGTAGTAAGTGGTAGTGCTCATGTAGTAGTAAGTAGTAGCAAGTAGTTGGTATGTTAGTCGATGAGTAGTAGTAGCGTACAGTAGTAGTAGTAGTAGTAGCCCCAGCCGCTCCCCTCCAAATCCGTGGTTTGGGGTGCTCGGGGGGGCGAGCATATATATATATACTATATATATAATATAAATACAATATATATATATTTATTATATATATTATATATTTATTTACAATTGTATAAATACATACTTATATATGTAAATATGAATATATATATATATATATATATATATATATATATATATATACATGTATCTATCTGTATTTTCATATATAGAAACGCCAAAAGAAATCATGTTTCACTGTTTTCGTCCAAGCCTGCCAAACAGGTCTCTCGCGCCGCATGCCGAAGTCATTCGCGAGCCCTTGCGCGCGTGATGGGGGAGGGGCGCGATCCGTGTCAAATAGTACCACGCCGCGTGGGCCATTTGCGCGCGTGGGCCGCGCGCGCATGTCGAATTCCTTCAAGAACCTTCATCGCCAACGCGAGGGCATCCTCATCGTCATCGGCGGGCGTGATCAACACTGGCCGTCATTGGCCTTGCAACCGTTATCGCCACCATCGCCACAATCATTGCTACTCTCAGAATCGTGCTTACCGTTGTCGGTCAGTGCAAATCACCGACTCGCACTGGAGCGCCCGTTGGGAAGTGCCAAGCGGTCAGCGCCGCCGCGGCCGCGTCGGTCGCGCCGAACCAGTTGGCCGCTGTGCGCGCGAACATGCTCGGGCCAGCGCGGCCGAATAAATGCACCAGCCAATGCCAAACACTCATCGCAATCGCCGCAGCGCTGGTTTTGCTAACCAAGTTGCGGGTGGGTGGGTGGGATGGTTGCAGGAACGTGGGATGTGTCAATTTGCTTGTGCAAGTCAACCGACCACCTGGATTGCACAATGCAGGTAGCACAGCGCATGTGGCGCAACACAGATTTCACAACAGAGGTTGCAGCACCTGGATTGCACCAGGTAGGTTGCACCAAATACATTGCTCCACGCCGATTTCGCAAGATAGGTTGCACGAGTTCGATTGCACCACCTATACTGCACCTTTTCAGGTGCACCAAACAGCTTGCCCCACGCGGATTGCACAACATGTGCGGCTATCATCACCAAGTTGGCATGCGTTGTGCGGGCTGCGTGGTGCAAGCGATGTGGTGCCCCATAAGTGTTCGGTGCCGATGTCTGGTCCAGTGCATGTGGTGTAAGCGTTGTGGCACCAGTTGTGTGGTACACGTTGTGAGATACAAACGGGCAAGCATTGTGCGTTTCACACGAAGTGTGTGTGATGCAAGGTGCGCGGGCTTGTGTCGCAAAATGGGTAACGCGTGTGTGGTGCAAATTATGCGGTGCAAGCTGTGTGGCGCAAGTTGAGCCGCGTAGCTTGCTAAGTGGTAGTAGCGTCTCCGGTGTGCAATGAATGTTGCGCAAGGTACGTGGTGTAAGCTATGGGGTTGTTACAGCACCCCGCTGCGCAACTTTTGCGTTGAAAAGTACATGGTCTAGGGTGCGTGGCGCAACTTTTGCGGGACAATTGTTTATGCCGCGTTGGTGTCGTCAACCTCTCTGTTCGCGCAAACATCCCACCCACCCACCCGCAATTTGTTCAGCAGATCCCGTTCGGCCACGATCGCGGTTCCCGATTGGGATTTGTTACCGCGTTCTTGCGGCCGCGTTGGCCAGAGCGAGCTTGCGAGCGGGTCGAGCAGCTGGTTTTGGCACCATAGATGGGGCCGCGATGGCGCTAACCCGCTGGAGTTTCCCAGCGCGTTTCCAAGGCCGCGTTGGCTTGCGGGCGCTGCTGTGCTGGTCGGCGACCTGGGCGTCCGCGATATGACGGTGATGTCGGCAACGGCGGCAACGACGATGATAATAGCGGTGGTGATGGCGATGTTGGCGATGACGACGGCAAGACCAGTGACGGCGCCGATGTTGGTGACAACGGTTACGATGATGTCGTCTATGCGTCGGTGACGAAATTGGTTGTGATGATGATGGTGGCTGTGGCAGCGATTGAATATGACGTATTCGGCGGTTCTGCATTGGCGCTGGTGAGAGTGATGAGGAAGTGTGCGAGCGCAGAAGTTCCAAAACCTGGCAGTGATTGTGTTGAGTAGTTATTGCCCATGTCGTGTGTGCTCGACAAACTCGATGTTGACATGCGTCAAACACCACTGGCTTTGAATGTATTCGACGCGCGCGTGGCGGCGCGCGCATGTGGCTCGCATGCCATATTTTGATACGGAGTCGCGCGTTTGGCGAGTGTTGCATTAAGGCGAATGTAAGGCGTGCTGTGATGAGAACGTGGCTCCTGGAAAGAATGCTATCACCATACAGTTTCCGTATTGCTTTGCCAAGTTCGTGCAGGCAGGTGTGTTGGCTGATTCGTGTTGGGAAATGCAAATGGGTTTTTCGTGGCGTTATGCCAGAACGCTTGCAGAATTGTGCGCGCTCGTGTGGATATGGTGGTATGAGGTAGACGATTACGCGCATCGTATTTTTCGGACTGGGATGGGGGGAGTACGATCCAGCCGCCTTGAATGGTATGGTTCCATACCCCTGAACGATCAGGTATAACCGTAGTGCCCTTGCAATGTCATCCATGAACCCGGAGACGTTTGAGGGATGGGAGCCCACGATTCTTTTTGAAAGTAGAAGGTCTATGGTGCGAGCCACGTGGTTCGAGCGATGTAGTGTTACACTAGTTTGTGGTGTATTACTGGTTGTGCATTACATGTGTTGTGAACTATGTGGCGTTAGCCTTGTGGTATACGTTGATTGGTGCAAACGGTTTTCAACGTGTGTTGTTCAAGCGCTGTGGCGCAAGAGTCTGGACGATTATGATCAAGTCAGATGTTCCCCAATAGTCAGCCAACTTGCGCGGGCAGAAACAGTGCCACCGCTTCATTGGAACAACAGTGGTGTTTAATGCGTTGATGTTGGGACGGATGCGCAATTCATGTGTTTGTTATGGTTTCGACATGTGCGCGCGCGTGTGGACTGTCTTGTACTTGTTGCAAGAGGGTCTTGAAACATACGTGTTGACATATGCGAGTCCGCGTGCATAGTGTTACTTGATAGTGGTGACGGGGGGCGATATCAGTTTAGCTGGGATCGTGTGGTCGAAGCTGGGAGATAGGCGATGCGGCGACACCATGCGAAACTTGCCATGCGAAAGGGTAAACAGAAAACCTCCGGCGCCGGGGGCGGGGGAGAGCACAGTGGGCACATTCGATTCTTAGGTTGAATAGAGACTGTATTTGGTTCAAGCGTTGTGGCTTGCCTTGATGTGGTGTACGGTATTTGGTGTTATGAATGTTGTGTGCCTGGGGGCCGAGTTATGACCATCGCCCCCGCGCGCCTTGTGTCCGACCAGTTTGTCTGCGAGGTGTTTTATAAATTGTGGCGTCCCCATTGTAGGCTATGTGGTGTACGCTGAATGATGACAGGTGTGTGGCAGAAAGTATATTGTTCAAGCAGTGTAGCGAAAGCTCTATGGTGTAAGCTACGTGGTACAGCACATGCGTTGTAAACTCTCTGGTGCGGCGTATGTAGTGCGAGGTATGTGGTGCAAGCATTGTGTTGAACTTATATGTGGTGCAGGCTATGTGGTTTACGCTATATGGTGCGTCGCATGTGGTGCTTGCAATGTGGCCCCATCGGTGTGATGCAAGCCATGTGGTGCAAGCTATGTTGTGTAATCTGTGGTGCAGGTTGTGTGGTGGAAGCTATGTCGTGCAAGCTGTGCTATGCAATCCATGTGGCAGGCGGCGCGGGGCGCCCCCCTGTGTCGCCCAAGGGCGGGCGCGAGGCGCCCACGAGGTGCCAACGGTTGGGTACCAAACAAACACTCGGCGTCACACCGCCACACCCACCAAGGGCACGGGGCGCCACGAGGCGCCCACGGGCGGACATCCATTGGGCACCAATCGGGCATCAGGCGACACCCCGCCACGTCCGCCCATTCATTTAGGTGACCGCAGTAGGAGCCCCTGAGTACAAGCAGCGTTTGGGGAACATTCGCAAGGCTTGAGGTTTCAAGGAGTTGCACAAGCGGAGGGCGGCGCCACTCCACATTCTGATGTTCGACTTTCGCGTGAAATTCTCCGTCGTCCCATGGTGTTCTTTGGTCTCTTCCTCCTCTTCCTCTCCTCTCGTAGAACAATTGAAGAGGTGCCATTGAAACGGTGTCAAAGAGCAGGAGGACTCCTCTTCCCTCTGCTACTGCTGCTCCTCCCTCAGGCAACTGTCCTGGAGGAGGCATCCTCCCCCTCTCGCTCCAGGTCTGGAGAAAGCCCAGTGCCATCGTGCAGTCCTCCAAGGGCATGGTCACGCGCCCCACAGGGCAGGACATGGTGACTGATTTCCAGAAGAACCTTGGCTCTGTGCTGTGCTCCACCCGTTGTTCGTTCAGAGACTTGGAGGGCCTCCCCGAGGCATTGGTGCAGGTCCTCGGCTTGTCGAGCACTGCAGTCCCTGTACCACGCTTCGTGCCAAGACAGCGTGGCTCTTCTCGATCTTGCCGTCACGTGCAGGAGATTCCTCTCGCTTCGCGGGGTGCACGTCCGGAGCACGCACAGTTCAGTCGTACTGGGGCCCCATGGCAGCCTCTTGGGGGCCTCTTGGACGCCTCCCGGGGGCTTCTTAAGGCCTCTTTGTGGCCTCGTCGGGGCTTCTTGGGGTCTCTTGGGGACGTCTTGGGCCGTTCTGGGGCACTCTTACGTCGTCTGGCCTCGTCGGAGGCCATCTTGGCGGCCCCGCCTGGCCGCTCTCTTGGGGCTCTCATGGGCCGTCTTGGACCTTCTTGGGGGCTTCTTCTGGCCGTCTCGGGGCCCTCTTGTGCCGTCTTGGGGCCCCCTTGGGGGCCTCTTCGACCCCTTGGGGCCGTCTTGGAGGCTGCACGGCCTTCTGAGAGCAGAAAAAGGGGGGAACTGGAAAATCAATCCCAAACCAACGGAACGTCAATGATTTAGGCCCTTGGAGGCGTTCTCGGGAATCCTTTTGGAGCCTGTTGGGCCATCTGTGGGACCTCAAGGGCCCTCTTGGGGCCATCTTGGAGCCAATTTGGGCCGTCTTGGGGCCGTCTTGTCCCGTCTTGAGGCCCAGGGCTTCTGGGCGGCCTCCTGGGGGGCTCTTGGGAGCCTCTTGGAAGTCTCTTTGGGTCCTCTTGGGGCGTCTTTGGGGCCGCTTTGGGCTTTGGGGCCTCTTGGGGTTTCTTGGGGACGTCTTGCGCCGTCTTGGGGCGCTCTTGCTCCGTCTGGCCCCTTCGGAGGCAATCTTGGAGGCCTCTCGCGGCCGCCTTGGGGCTCTCTTGGGAGCCCCTTGGGCCGTCTTGGGGGCCCCTTGGGCCGTCTCGGGGCCCTCTTGGGCCGTCTGGGGCCCCCTTGGGGGCCTCTTGGCGGGTCTTGGGGTCTTTTTGGTGGCTGCTTGGGCCGTGATGGTCAAAAACCAAAGGAAAAGCAATGATTTTGGCATCTGGAGGCGCTCTTTGGGGTCCTCTTGGGCCGTGTTGGGGGCCTCATGGGCCCTCTTGGGGTCTTAGGGCCGTTTTGGACCGTCTTTGGGCCATCTGAAGGCTTTCTTAGAGTCCCAAGAGGCCCAAGAGGCCGAATATGTTGATTTTCCATTGTTTTTTTGGCCCCAGCATGAGGGCCTCCACATTTGGTACGGCGCTGTGGCGCGGCTCCAGGAAGGTTTTGGGGAGACATGATAATGTAACGCAAGACGACATGTACCAATCATGGAATAATGGGGTACGGGCTTCTTGGGGGCGTCTTGGTTCCTCTTGAGGGCTTCTTGGGGGCGTCTTGGGCTGTCATGCGGCGGAGGCCATCCTGTAGGCCTATCGCAGCCGCCGTGGGGCTCTTGAGGACCAGTTGGACTGTCCTGGGGCCTTTTTGGGCCGTCTTTGGGCCCTCTTGGGCCGTCTTGGCGTCCTCTGGGGGGCGTATGGGGCCGTCCCGGGACCATTTTGGAGGCTGCTTGGGCTGTCATGAACCTCTACGGATAGAAAAGTGCGAGGACGCGATAACATGTTTCAAAAACCAGCGAAAAACCAATGACTTTGGCCTATGGAGGCGCTTTTTGGGGTCCTCTTGGGGCCATGTTGGGTCGTCTTGGGGGCCATCTTGGGCCCTCTTGGGGCCATCTTGGACCTTCTTGGGGCCGTCTTGGGCCGTCTTGGGACCATCTTGGGCCATCTCAAGGCTTTCTTGGAGCCCCACGAGGCCCAACAGGCTGAATATGTTGATGTTCCATAGGTTGTTGTAGGTTTGGGGTCCCAGAATGAGTGCCTCCACATTTGGTACGGCGCTGTGGTGCGGCTCCAGGGGGGTGGGTTAGGGGGAGACATAATAATGTCACACAAGAAGCAAGATGTGCAACTTATGTACTACTGGGATACATCGCAATTGTGCAATGAGGGGGTACATGGGATACGTTGCATTACAGCTTCCGCGGACCTGCCTCCGGCAACACGTCTCTTCCAAATGTGGATTCTTGGGCTTACGCAGCACCGCCGACCCCTTGAGTGACTGGCGGTTGTGGCGTGTTGCTCCTGAGGTCCTCTTGGGCTCCTTTTGGGGGCTCCTTGGTGCTCTTTTGGGCGCTTCACTGGGGCCTCTGGGGGGCCTCTTGGAGCTTCATGGAGGCTTCTTAGGGGCCTCGGGCAGCCGAGGGCTCGAAATGTGGGCTCGGGTTCCCCTTCGGAGCTCTTCTTGCGGCTGTCTGGTGGCTCTTTTGGGCTATGTTGGAGGCCTCTGGGGCTGTCTTTGGGGCCGTGTGGGTGCTCTCTTTGCCTGTTTAGGGGCCCTCTTGGAGGCCTCCAGGGCCGTCTGGGGAGATCTTGGGAGCCTCCGGGGCCGCCGTGAAGAGTCGGGAAATCGAGAAGGCCAGAACGCTGAAATCTTTCAAAAACTAGTGTGGGAATCTATGAACATTGCCTCCTGGGAGGGCTCTTGGATGCCTCCTGGGGCGTTTGGAGGGCGTCTGGGGCCGTATGGAGGCCATCGTGGCCGTCTTGGAGGATCTTCCGGCGATTCGGGGCCCTTATGGACTGTCTTGGGGCGCTCTTGGCCCGCTTGCCCGTCGTGGGGCCCGCCTTATCCTCCCATGATGCGTTCGGGCCGGGCCCCGGGGATCCAGGCGGCGACCGGACTGGGCCCCGGGGGGTGGGGCTGGGGGGAGGGGGAAGCATCTCACACGCTGGTGATACCCCAGGGGCTCCGCGGATTTTGCCGCCACGCGCGCAAAGCATATGTTTTGAGAGGGCGGGCCCGCGCGCACGGGGTAATCTGATGCCCCCCCGCCGTCGTGTAAAACAATAGTGCGCAGTGATGGCGGGACTCCCGAGGATGATTCAGAGTATATCGCAAAGAGCACTTTGAAAACCCGTGGGGCATTGGCGGAGTTTGGCCCCTGCACCTCCCGCACCGTCAGTTGTGTTTCTGCGCTGAAATTCTCAGCGTTCGCCGTGCACGCATGGGGAGACGGGCGAGAGAACCCACGTTTACAGACGGCGGGCATCTGTCAAAGCACGCTTTGTTGGCGCCGTGGGCGTCTTGGAGCGAGATGTAGGTCTTGTGCGGGCCCTCTTAGACAGTCCTACCGCGCGTTCGCAGAGAATTCCCCCAGGGCCCACGGCAATCGCGGCACCGCCCGCTCCGGCTCGTATTCGAAGCCTCGTGCAATGGTTGAGGTTTTTTGGGGTCCGCCCTGGCGCGGTCGTGGGAACGCCCTGGGCTGAAAGAAGCCTCTGATAGCAGAAGACGTTGCAAACCCGTGGGGCATTGACGGAGTTGGCCCCTGGAAGCCTCTTGGGAAAATGTGTGGGGCTCTCGTCGGGTGTTTTCAGGGTTTGGGGGGCCGTCTTGGAGCAGACGTGGGCGCCTTGGGGCGACATGTGGAGCGTGTCGGGCCCTCTTGGGCAGTCTACCGCGCGCTCGCGAAGGAGTGGCCCGGGGCCCCTGGCAATCGTGGCACTGCCCGCGCCGTCAGTATTGATTTCTGCGGCTGGCATTCTCAGTGTTCGCCGCGTTCGCATGGGGAAATGGGCGAGAACCCACGTTTACAGACGGCGAGCGTTTTTGAGCCCTCGCTGGCGTCTTGGAGCGAGATGTGGGGCATGTCGGGGCCCTCTTGGACAGTGTACCGCGCGCGCGCGAAAGATTCCCCAGGGGCCCTCGGCAATCGCGGCACCACCTGGGCCGCCAACAGTTCCTTGCGCGGCTGACATTGTCAGCGTTCTCCTTGCGCGCATGGGGAAGCGGGCGAGAGCCCACCATTACAGACGGCAGGCATCTGTCAAAACACGTTTTGGAACCGCCGTGGGCGTCTTGGAGCGAGATGTGGGGCGCGTCGGGGCCCCCGTGGTCAGGATGCCGCAATTCGGATTTGTTCGAAGGTTGTTTGAAGTTCTCTTGGGACCTCATTATCAGTGTTCGCCGCCGCGTCTTGGAGCGAGACGTGGGGCGTGTTGGGGCCCTATTGGAGAATCTACAACGTGCGCGCGAAAGATTCCCCAGGGGCCCGACAAGCGCGGCACCGCCCGCGCCAGCTGTTGTGATTTCTGCTGGTGACATTTTCAGCGTTCGCCGTGACGTCACGTTTATAATCGGCGGGCATTCGCAAAAATACCAGAACAATGATTATCGAATGGCTCTCGGCACATCCCGCCACCGTGCCTGGGCTGCGGGTCTGAGGCCACTCGGATGGCAGATGGGGTCTCGTGGGGGGCGTCCCGGTGGCGTTCGGGAAGCAGCGTTTGAACCTCCTGGGGGCCTCCCGGGGTTTTTGGGGGGCCTCTTGGAGCCTGTTTTTTCCCCACATGTTTCGTGGGGTTATGGTTTTCTTCCCTGCCGCGGCGCACCCGCGTCTCCTCCTCCCCTCTCTCTCTCTCTCCTTCTTACACAGCGCAGCACAGCACAGCACAGCACAGCACAGCACAGCACAGCACAGCACAGCACAGCACAGCACAGCACATGCACAGCAACGTAAGGGGGTGCGTAGGGGCTGGTCTCTCACCGCGGCCGCTATCCGTGACGGTCGTCCAGGGCACAGCAGGCATGGCATATTCTAGACACCGTAGGGGGTGCGCAGGGGGTGGTCTTTCACCGCGGCCGCTATCCGTGACGGTCGTCCAGGGCACAGCAGGCATGGCATATTCTCGACAGCGTAGGGGGTGCGCAAGGGGTGGCCTTTTACCGCGGCCGCTATCCGTGACGGTCGTCCAGGGCACAGCAGGCATGGCATATTCTAGACACCATAGGGGGTGCGCAGGGGGTCCGTGACGGTCGCCCAGGCAACAGCAGGCATGCATATTCTCGACACCATAGGGGTGCGCAGGGGGTGGTCTCTCACCGCGGCCGCTATCCGTGACAGTCGTCCAGGGCACAGCAGGCATGGCATATTCTCGACAGCGTAGGGGGTGCGCAAGGGGTGGTCTCTCACCGCGGCCGCTATCCGTGACGGTCGTCCAGGGCACAGCAGGCATGGCATATTCTCGACACCATAGGGGGTGCGCAGGGGGTGGTCTCTCACCGCGGCCGCTATCCGTGACAGTCGTCCAGGGCACAGCAGGCATGGCATATTCTCGACAGCGTAGGGGGTGCGCAAGGGGTGGTCTCTCACCGCGGCCGCTATCCGTGACGGTCGTCCAGGGCACAGCAGGCATGGCATATTCTCGACACCATGGGGGGTGCGCAAGGGGTGGTCTCTCACCGCGGCCGCTATCCGTGACGGTCGTCCAGGGCACAGCAGGCATGGCATATTCTCGACACCATAGGGGGTGCGCAGGGGGTGGTCTCTCACCGCGGCCGCTATCCGTGACGGTCGTCCAGGGCACAGCAGGCATGGCATATTCTCGACACCATAGGGGGTGCGCAGGGGGTGGTCTCTCACCGCGGCCGCTATCCGTGACGGTCGCCCAGGCACAGCAGGCATGGCATATTCTCGACACCATAGGGGGTGCGCAGGGGTGGTCTCTCACCGCGGCCGCTATCCGTGACGGTCGTCCTAGGGCACAGCAGGCATGGCATATTCTCGACAGCGTAGGGGGTGCGCAAGGGGTGGTCTCTTACCGCGGCCGCTATCCGCGACGGTCGTCCAGGGCACAGCAGGCATGGCATATTCTAGACACCATAGGGGGTGCGCAGGGGGTGGTCTCTCACCGCGGCCGCTATCCGTGACAGTCGTCCAGGGCACAGCAGGCACGGCATATTCTCGACAGCGTAGGGGGTGCGCAAGGGGTGGTCTATCGCAGCCGCTATCCGTGACGGTCGTCCAGGGCACAGCAGGCATGGCATATTCTCGACACCACAGGGGGTGCGCAAGGGGTGGTCTCTCACCGCGTCACCGCGGCCGCTATCCGTGACAGTCGTCCAGGGCACAGCAGGCATGGCATATTCTCGACACCATGGGGGGTGCGCAGGGGGTGGTCTCTCACCGCGGCCGCTATCCGTGACGGTCGTCCAGGGCACAGCAGGCATGGCATATTCTCGACACCATAGGGGGTGCGCAGGGGGTGGTCTCTTACCGCGGCCGCTATCCGTGACGGTCGTCCAGGGCACAGCAGGCATGGCATATTCTCGACACCATAGGGGGTGCGCAGGGGGTGGTCTCTCACCGCGGCGCTATCCGTGACGGTCGTCCAGGGCACAGCAGGCATGGCATATTCTCGACACCATAAGGGGGTGCTCAGGGGGTGGTCTCTCACCGCGGCCGCTATCCGTGACGGTCGTCCAGGGCACAGCAGGCATGGCATATTCTCGACACCATAGGGGGTGCGCAGGGGGTGGTCTCTCACCGCGGCCGCTATCCGTGACGGTCGTCCAGGGCACAGCAGGCATGGCATATTCTCGACACCATAAGGGGGTGCGCAGGGGGTGGTCTCTCACCGCGGCCGCTATCCGTGACGGTCGTCCAGGGCACAGCAGGCATGACATATTCTCGACACCATAAGGGGGTGCGCAGGGGGTGGTCTCTCACCGCGGCCGCTATCCATGACGGTCTCACGGCACAGCGGTATCGGCGGGGCAACGGCCACCAACATCATTCTCACATGCTTCACTTCAGCTGTAATCTCTCCAGCCATCATATAAGTATGTGGGTTTCCTCGGTAGCGTAATTTAGATTCTGGCAAGTTTACTTGCATGGACGGGGGGGGGCTGAGCCTGAAGCAAGCCCGGGGGGGGGGCGCGGAAACCACGCAAGTCGAAAGGCATTGCACGCTAGTATTCGCTTGAAGAGGGGCGAGGGGAGGGGGGGGGGGGGGGGGCGAACGCCATGCAAGTAAATCTGCCTGAATCAAACAAACAAAAAGGTTCTTGGGGCTCCCTGGGGACCTGTTGAGGGCTTCGTGGGGCCACCAGAGTGCGCTCTGGGGTCGGAGGTCGAAAGCTCGAGATGTCCGTTCGGGTTCCCGCTCTGGGCCCCCCCTTTGGGGCTGTCCTGGGGCCCCTTGGGTCGTGTCGGGGGGGTTTTGAGAGCGGTCTTGGGGCCCTGTGGGGTCGTCTGGGAGCCCTCTTGGGGGGTTCTTGGGACGCTTTGGGGACGGCTTGTTTGGGCCGTCTTGGACGTTGTCAACGCACAGGAGGCGAGTGTGTTAAAAACGCACGTCTTCCCAAGGGGAGTGGGGCGATCTTTGCTTTTCGAGGCCGTCTGGGGGCGCCTCTTAGGGGGTTTCTTCGGGCGTCTTGGGGGCCTCTTGGGCCGCCTTGAGGCCAGCGCGAACATTTTGGATCGATCAATCTTTCGGCGGCTCGTGGCCCTCTTGGCCTGTCCTGGGGACTTCTGTACCCCCGTGATGCGTTCGGGTCGGGCCTGGGGGACCGCCCCCCATTCCAAATCGACCCGACCAGGCTCCCGGGGAAGGTGTTTGGGGGAGGGGAAGCATCTCACACGTCGATGAGCCCCCAAGGGGTCGGCGGATTCTCATGCCGCAGGGGTTCCCAAATAACCTGACTAGTTTTGTGCAGAGTGGCCTTGGCCAGCTCACCACTAACGAGAAGTTTAGGTGGCCCCTCTTCGACAAGATCGAGCGGATCTACAAGGAGGAGTGCGATTTCGAGGCAACACTGTTGTTGGATCCTGCGCCATGCGCAGCGGGATACATGCCCGACCTCCAGCTGAACTCCGAGGGAGCCGTCGAGGAGACTTGCGTGCCCAGGGCGGTTGGTGGCGCTGGAAGGGCCCCCCTACACCGCTACGCAGTCGTCTGGGACTTGCACAACCATGACCGACAGAAGCTGCGATGGGAGGAGACGGAGGTCGAGGACGGCCTTACCGCAGTCGGCTTCAACCGCTGGGGTGCGGAGATGCTGCTCGAGTCCGACACGCTTAACACTGACCTCTTCTTCTGGAGGAGGAGCCTCCGACAGCGCATCTTCGTGCAGCGGGACCCTCGCGTGACCACGGCCTCTGGCGCCGATGTGTGCAGCTTTAGGCTCTAAGTCGTCGGATGCTCTGACCTCTTTAAGCGATTCAGCCCTAAGCTCAGTTTGGAAGGCTTAGGTCGCGATAAGCTTGCCCCTATATGATCATCGATATCATGACTGACGTCGCAATCGTGGCCACGTGCCCTCGCTAAGATATTTCCGATCAGTTCCCGGTCACCCCAGTCATAAACGGCCAGGGCCTCGTCACACGGAGCATTGAATGAGGAGCGAAGCGCCGTGCCAGGGCTTCGCCAGTCCAGTCAAGACGATGAAATAAGGACCGCTTTGGGCTCAGGAGGAGCTCTGGTTTCGGGCCGTTCTTCAGATGCATGTCGTGGAACCTTTTTCTGGCCTAGGCCTGTCGTGGCCAGAAAAGCCACTTCGTTCCTTATCATGCGTTCGCCATGGTAGCACGATGGCTGTAGCCACCGGTTTGGAGACGGACACACGAGGACCTCTTGGAGCGCTGAGTGGTGATCAGTCCCGGCTTCGGTGGGCCAGAAGGTGCCCAAAGAAACGGCCACGCAAGGTCGCATGCAAGAGGCCTCTGACCCACAGCCCAGGCACGGTGGCGGGATGGGCCGAAGGCCACTAGACGGCCACAAGATGGCCCAAGAGGGCTTCAAGATGAGCCCAAGAAGGGAGGAGGAGGAGGAGGAGGAGGAGGAGGAGGAGATGGAGGAGGAGATGGAGGAGGAGATGGAGGAGGAGGAGGAGGAGGAGGAGGAGGAGGAGGTGAAGGTGGAAGAGGAGGATGAGGAGAAGGAGGAGGAGGAGGAGAAGGACGCGGAGGAGGAGGAGGAACAGGAGTAGGAGGAGAAGGAGGAATCGTCGCGGGCGCGTCGTCGACGTCGTCGTCGTCGTCGTCGTCGTCGTGGTCCTCGCCCCTCCTGCTCTTGCCTTCGCACTAATCCTTCCTCCTCCGTCGCCCCCCCCATGCATTATTTTCCGTCCTGCTCCCCCTTCTCTTCCTCATTCGACCCACCTATCCGAGCACAAGGAAGCCCGACCTTTGGTGATGAAGAAGGACAGAGGGAGGAGGACCGAGTGGAAGAAGACGAGCTGTGCGCGGTCGTGCCATATTTGAAATCCTACCCTCCCATTTGCCCCCTCCCATTGTGCTGATTTCTTCTCCACCCGCCGACGGGTGTCATAATTGCCGGACCTGGAACCCCCAACACGGGAAGAAGAAGAGGGCGGAGGTTTCCGGAGGCTTCAGAGAGCTTCCAGTTGGCCTTGGAGACATGAGGATGCTTCTGAGCGAAAGCGGTGACGGTGGCGCTGTTGGCGGCGCCCGGTGAAGCCGGGGTCTCATTTGGATCCGCGCGTCCCACGGCTTCGCTGGGACCCCGGGGGCGAAGGACAGCGGCGCCATTTGCCTTTCCAACCAGGGCCTCGGTCCGTATTCCCTCTCTCTTTCAGCATTCTCCTCTTTTTTTCCTGTTGTTCATCCTCCTCCACTTCCTCTTCGGTTTTTTGTCTGCCAGTCATCTCTTCCACTCCTCATCATCATGTCCATCTTCCTGTCAGTCCCCCTCCCCGTCCTCTTCCTCTTCCTGTCCCCCCTTCCTTCCCATGTTCTGACCATTATCCGTTATACCCCAGTGTTCCTCTCTCATTCCTCTGTCCTCCTGTGTTATCCGTCTCTCTTTTCCTCCTCCCTTCCTCCATCCTCCTCCCTCCTTCTTCTCCGCTCCTTCCTGGTGCCTTGGATTCGTGCGAGATCCTGTAGTCGTCGTCCAATATTTTTTTGTTCGACAGAGTCGCCGTGATTCAGACCTGAGGCTTTGAGTGCGAGGTTTTGGAGTAGCCTTCGATGCTGTTGAGCCGACATCACGCGGCGCAAGCCGCGAGACGGAGGAGGGTGAGGAGGAACAGGATGCGAGGACGATGTTGACGCAGAGGGGACGAATCAGTCATTCCTCCCGATGCCCTTCTGACGCACAATGGGTGCTCATTTTGAGGAAACTAGCCTGCCAGCCCGTGTCCCACGGAAATTGTTTTCCCCCCGATGGCCTTGGGGGCCACAGAAGCATTTGGACATTTGAGGAAGCTCAGAGACCGTCGACGAACGTGCCCCATATTTCTGATATAAGAATTTACTATTGCATACGTACCTGTTGCAGCAGGCCCCACATCCTGCAACTGGGCGCAACTGCCGTCGAACAAACACTCTCTCCTTATCTCTGTCTCTGGTGCTTCGCGTTGGGATTGAGGGACGGGGAGCGCTTTTCCGAGGTTAATGGTTCAACGTCCTTCTCCGCAGCAGAGATTCTGGCGCCAGACTCACCTGTGCCAGCTCCAGTAATACGACAAACAAGGAACTGGCCTGCCAGCGGCTGCCCCGCGGAAAGTGCTGATCCCGCGAAGGCCGTGGGGGGTCAACAGAAGCACCGGGGCACGTCAGAGAACTCCAAGCCCGATGAGGAATGTGCCCCCCAGTTTGTTTTTTTGCAAAATGTTGCATCCTGTCCACTGGGTCTCACCACAGCCACCCCGGCACGCCCACCTCTGTCCCTGATTGCCTCTTGCATCTTGCATCTTGGACCTACTTTTCTGGAGGCAGGCCACCAGCCCAGGCCCAGTCGTTGCCTCCTGCATCCCCCCCTCCTTTCCTCCCTCCCCTTTTCCCTCCCTCCTGTCTCCCCCTCCTCCTCCCCCTCCTCCTCCTCCTCCTCCTCCTCCTCCTCATCCTCATCCTCCTCCTCCTCCAGAGGAGGAGCATGGCCTGAGTGTGGCTCCCTCGGCCCCCCTGGCCTCTCCAGCCCCCTCGGGCTCCGTCGCCCCCTCTTCTCCTCGTGCCCTGCAGTGCACCGGCGCGCCCCGCCGCGGCTCGGCCGCCGTCCGCCTCTCCTGCGGCCGCTGCCTAAAAGAGCGTCTCGCCAGAGCCGCAGTGGCCTTCGGGGCAACCTTCCTGGAGCAAAGCTCAACGCACCCTCCTCCTCCTCCTCCTCCTCCTCCTCCTCCTCCGCCTCCGCCTCCTCCTCCTCCTCCTCCTCCGCCTCCGCCTCCTCCTCCTCCTCCTCCGCCTCCTCCTCCTCCTCCTCCTACTCTCAGGCGACGTTCGCTCCTCCTCCTCCTAGATCGCCAGCAGGCCCCCAAGAGGCTTCCAAGAGGCCCACACGGCCCCTCGCCACGGCGTCAAGCCGTGCGGAGGAGAGAAAGGAGCACTGGGCGCCGGGGAGGAGGGACGCCAGGAGCAACGTCAGGAGGCCGAGGATGGCGACGACGACGAGGACGACGAGGGGGGGGGGAGGAAACAGGAAGGAGGTGGGCTCCGTTGGCGACGGCGGCGGGGACGATGGCGGTGGGGAGGACGACGAGGGAGGAGGAGAGCAGGGGCAACGTCAGCGGGGGTAGGTTCAGGGGTGGGACGCATCGACCCCCCGTCGCCCATACATCTCCGGCCAGAGGCCCGAGTGCGTCGCCTGCCCAACAACTTGCGGCTTTGCGATGCGGGGCCTATCGCAGATTGATCGGCGACGTATCGCCGATGACAGGTTGATGTTTCCACCCCTGAGCTGGCCCCCCCGTTAGCATTGCCTCTCAAGACGGTGGAAGTGGGAAGGGGCCTTGGGGGGCTGTTAAAGGGCGACAGCGGTCGACTCAGACGACAAGAAATCGGGCCATAAGATACCTATACGACCACCCGGCGGGTGATAAGGAGGTGAGGGGGGAGGGGGAACCAACGTCTCACTCAATCGATCTCGCTATCGATCTCACATTCGGTCTCACATTCGGTCTCACATTCGGTCTCACATTCGGTCTCACTATCGATCTCACTATCGATCTCACAATCGATCTCGCAATCGATCTCACTATCGATATCACCATCGATCTCGCAATCGATCTCACATTCGGGACATCATCGGGACACCATCTTCATCATCGACATCATCATCATCGGGACATCATCATTATCAACATCCTCGTCATCGGGACACCATCTTTATCAACATCATCAACGTCATCATCATCACCATCATCATCACCATCATCACCATCATCACCATCATCATCTCACAATCGATTTTTTATCGATCTCACAATCGATCTCACTATCGATCTCACAATCGATCTCACATTCGGTCTCACTACCGATATCACAATCGATCTCGCAATCGACGTCATCATCATCATCATCATCATCATCATCATCATCATCATCATCATCAACATCATCAACATCATCATCATCATCATCATCGCCATCATCATCATCATCATCATCATCATCATCATCATCATCATCATCATCATCATCATCATCATCATCATCATCATCATCATCATCATCATCATCATCATCATCAACATCATGATCGGGACACCCGGGACACCGCGGGACACCGGCGGGACACCGGCGGGACACCGCGCGCCACCGGCCGCCCGGTGGAGAATCATTTGGTCCGGCCGCGCCTCAGCCACAGAGGACACCACCGGGACACCGGCGGGACACCGCGCGCCACCGGCCGCCCGGTGGAGAATCATTTGGTCCGGCCGCGCCTCAGCCACAGAGGACACCACCGGGACACCGGCGGGACACCGCGTGCCACCGGCCGCCCGGTGGAGAATCATTTGGTCCGGCCGCGCCTCAGCCACAGGAGACTTTCCTCTCGCCCGCCCACGCAGCTTCGCCTCGCCCGCACGCACGGCACGCACGAACACGAAACCGAAATCGATTTCCCGGTAGGGGGGCTCTCCGTTCCACTTCGATCTCACCCCCTCACCTCCGATCTATGGGCAGAACCTTTTCTCGACTCTGCGCTCCGCAAGATGCCCCAGGTCTCTGCGGCCCCACTGGAAGATACGAGAGTAGTATCTTGCTGCCCTCGGTGGGAGGCCAGTCTCCTGTTTGGAGCGCTTGCTGTGCCAGGGCTACGGGCCCCTGCCACTTCAGCTTAGGAACGGTTCGCAGCTGAGGGCCTCCGACGTCTGGACCAGCGTGGCTGGTTCGCAGCTGCACGTAGTCCGTCTTTTTTTTCCAGCGTTCAGAGAGCGCTTTAGGGGCTCCAGAGCCGTTTCGGGAACGATCCAGGACGGAAGACCCGTCCCCGCGAAGGTGCCCCCGAGAGGCTCGGGCCCAGACATTCAGGATCGCGGCTCCCCAGAGGTCTGGACCTTTTACTGGGTACTGTAGGGGGCCACATGCGAACCCTACCCCTACCCCCCCACGATTTCTGAGGGGGAGGGTGGGGTTCACTTCGCTCGGGAGCTCCCGGACGAAGTGCACCCCACCCTCCCCCTCGGAAATCGTGGGGGGGGGTTAGGGGTAGGGTTCGCATGTGGCCCCCTATCCCGAGTCGTTGGCTGCAGATCCTGGGGCCTGGCGTTTTTGCGGCCATCGTCTCGGCCATCCGTGTTCATGCGCTCGCCTTGGCCTTAGTGTGAACCTCCTCGCCTGCCTCCTCACGATGGCCCCCAAAACCATCCCCCACACACACACACAGACACGATGCTCGTGTATATATCTATATATATATATATATACATATACAAATATTTATTTATATACACGTACAGTGATTACTTGACGACGCGGAGACGTCAGGGCTGGGCTCACTCTGGTCGTTCATCAATGGGCGCGGCCACCTTTTTCGCCCCCCCTCAGCCCAACGCCACAAACGATGTCTCGCCCCCAATTCCCAAGTTCCGCCCCGAAAACTAGTGCGGCCAGAAACATGGGAAACTCAGGTATACATCCCCAGTGGGCTATCGTCACGCACACGTATCGAAGATGGACGCCCCCCGTCGTACGGTCAGGAGCTTTCGCATAGAGTGTCGCTCCGCCAGTTCTGGCCCACATTGTTGTGGCGCGACAATCTGGAGGTCGCAAAGGGGTGTGGTATAAAGGGGTGCGGTGCCAATGCTGAAAATGGCGACGTTATCTATGATAGCCGCAAGGGCGTTGCATCCCCATTCCAACAATGTTGGCTTGACGCGGACCGCCTGAAGCAACGTCAGAGCTCTTGATTCCAACTTCCCCAAACGACCGCTGGCTTATGTGAACGGCAACGCTGCACGTTCCCGGACGCCCGATCACCAAGCGCGAAATTTCGGAAGTTCCGAATCGCGAAAAGCGCCATTCCGTAACTTCCGTACCGCCCAAAACGTAGTTCCGGAAATTCCAGAATTTAGGAATAGTATTCTTTCGATCAAAGAAAATCATAATTCCGGAAATTCCGAATCTACGTTCGGGACAGTCCAGAATCACAAAAGTGAATTCCGGAAATTCTAGAATCTCCGGAATCGCGTGCCCCGCGATACGGCGTCATCGATTGGGTTGTTTTGTCGCCGTTCACATTGGACGGCGGTCGCTTGGGAAATTTGAATTTTTGTATCGACTTTGTTTGAAGCGGTCGACGCGAAGCCAGCGTTGTTGAAATCGGGGTGCATCGCGCTTACGGCTATCGTAGATAACATTTCTATTTTCAGCATTGGCACCGCACCCCTCTATACCACACCCATTTCCGACCTCCAAAGAGAAGCTGCCCACTTTCCCATTCCCAAGCGTCAAGGTTTGGAGCAGCTCCCAGCCGCCCGCCCCGCAGATTGGAGCGACGCGCCATCCGCCTGCAGGGCATGGCGTGTCGCCGGGGCTGCCGCCGCCACACGCCGAGCAAAAGTTCCAGACCGTACTCCAGATTTCGTAATAAAAGGGAGGGGGTCTGGGCCCTCCAAGACAAGCCATTTCAGACCCCCCCCCCGTGGGAGAACCCTCCAAAACATCGTCCCCAGACCCCCCCCAGGCCCTCCAAGATAGCCTGGAAGAGACCCCCCCCCCGAAATGAGACCCCCCTCCCTTTCTTACGAAATCTGGAGGACATCCTCGAGTTGGGCCCACAGCTTGGCCCCGTGGGGAGGACACGCGCAGAAGAGTCGGAGCGCGTGCTCGCCCTCGGGTGCGCCGCCGGCGCGGCGAAGAGGTGCTCGCGCACGTGCTGCGCGGGCCCGCGGAGTGCCTGAGCCTGGTCGCCGTGCGCATTGCCACCGGCCGCCGCCACCAGATCAGGCCCGGGGGGCGGCCGTCGATCGTCGCCGTTCTCGCTGCGAGACTGCTCAGGAGCAGAGTCATTGGGGGATATAAAACGGCGCGAAGATCGGGGCAAAATCGGATCGGGATAACTCGAAATCTCTGAGAATCGGCGGGTTTGAAGGATGTATTGGGCGCCGCGGCCGCTCCAGAGCGTTCCGGAACGCTCTGAGAGCGCTCCGGAACGCTCTGGAGCGATTTATCCCGATCCTAGCCCTGTTTTAGGATAGGGTCCGGGGGGGGCAGGATACATTGACCCCCAGTCGCCCATTCATCACCTATACGGGTCCGATGGCACACCCCACCCAGGAACGTGCGGATGCTTCACCGGGGGCCTATCACCGATCTCTCAGCGATGGATCGCCGATTCAAGCTCGATGTGTTTCCCCCCTGCGGTGGTTCTCCCTACTGGCATTGCCTCTCACCTCACCTGATCGTGGCTGGGGCTCACCGTGGACAGAAACACCAGTTCGTTCTGTATTTGCCTCCCCTATGGCAGCACGACGGCCGCACTCTCTAAGCGCGTGTGTGTATGTGCGATTTGGCTTGCAATTTATGGTCGAACGCAGACGCAACTACGGAGTAGAGCCGCCGCCGTCGCCGCAAGCGTCGAGGATGTAAAACTTCATAGATGTAGGAATGTGTAGCAATATCCAAAACGTCTGGGTACCCACGGACGGCCTCGGTCGTCGATCACCAGTGTCGCCATCGTCGTTGCTTTCGGTGAGGGAGTGCGGAATGAGGAATGGGGAACGGAGTAGGAGGAGGAGGAGGAGGAGGAGGAGGAGGAGGAGGAGGAGGGCGGGGACGAGGGTGAAGGGGGAGGGGGGGAGGTGTAGGGCTTGGTGGAAAGAGGGAGGGAGAGGAGGATATACAAGAAGTGAACAGGAGCTGGAGCGGCAGCAGCCGCAAAAGGAGGAGGGGCAGGAGAGGCGGACTGGAATAGCGATGGGAGGAGGAGGAGGAGGAGGAGGAGGAGGAGGAGGTCTGTAGCCAACTTTCTTATGGCCGGCAGTGGTGTTCTGGCTGCATCCTAGCTGGCTTGGCCCACCGTGCACGGGCCTAGGCCCAGGCCGCACGCCCCTCTGGGGGTCCGCCCTGAGCTGGCGCCAGCGCGCCACACATCCGCCTTTCATCCCCTCACGGCAAGTGGGCATTCCCGCCAGCAGCAGCGGCATGGGAGAGGTGCTGAGCCTCAAGGGCTATGGGCAGGGGCGAGGTCTTTTGATGTTTCACTGCGTCCAAGTAGGTCAGGGACATTATGTCCCCATGTGTGGAGTTTGGCGTGGCATCCAAGTCTCATGTTATGCGAGCATTGTTTGTGCGACATGTGAGTCCGTCTGCCTGGTGCCAGATCACCCGCGTCGGCGTCGTAGAGGGTTGCGTGCCAGATCCAGGGATTCTCTTCAACCCGATGCATCCCAGGAAGATGGTATCATAAAAAGCCTCGTTGCAAGCGTTTCCACAATGACCGCATCCAGGGAGAGATGTCACGCCAGCGGAAGCCTATGGTGCCGAGGGGCATCTTCTCATCGAGTGTAAGGACCTCCACCGCAGGAAACTCGACATCAGCAGGATCGCGCCCAGCGAGCCCACCCATGACATCATCAGCCAGGCGCACGCGCCATTTCATGGCAGGAACACCCTGAGGGCACGCGGGGCACACCGCCCCAAACACTTCTCCAGCCTCCCTGCTCTCCTCCGTGTCCACCTCCTCCCCTCCCCCTCCTGCGCCCCCATTCCACGTGCCCGCCTCCGTCGCAACAAGCAGCAGGGTACCCGTGCCCTGGCGGCTTGCCCTGGCCTGGCGCGGAGCTCCGACGCAGCTTGGTTGCGCCCCCGGGTCGGAAGGGCCCCGGGTGCGAGGCTGAAAACAAAAACGTCAGAGAGTCGGTTCTTATCGGGGGAGCGTAAGACCCGGGTTTGCCAGGATTCGGGTTCGCCATCGTTTTTTGACGACCGCGACTCGGATTTTGACGAGTAGGAGTTTCGTGGGATGTCTGCAGCGGGAGGCCTCGTCAAAATGCAGGCTCGGCCTCGTCATTTTTTCCCGGAAAGGGCATAGGCCCAGGGTTCTCTTTTAGTTGGTAAACCTAATCCCCCGGTGCCTGCTTGAAGGAGGCCGGCGAATTGCCGGCGAATTTTTTCCCTGATAAATAACGAGGTCGAAGGAGGCCGGCGAATTTTTCCCTGATAAATAACGAGCCCGAGAATTAAAATTTGAGGATGTCTCGAGCGAAACGCTTGTTTTTGAGGCCGGCGAATTAAAATTTGAGGATGTCTCGAGCGAAACGCTTGTTTTTCAGAAAATGGTGAGGATGTCTCGAGCGAAACGCTTGTTTTGTGTTATAGATTGTCCTCTCCTGGGGACCTGAATTCTGAGGACCACCTCCCAGCACGACCACCCCCCCAGCACGACCACCCCCCAGCACGACCACCCCCCAGCACGACCACACCCCAGCACGACCACTCCCCAGCACGACCACACCCCAGCACGACCCCACCCCAGCACGACCCCACCCTAGCACGACCACACCCCAGCACGATCACACCCCAGAACGACCACACCCCAGCACGACCCCACCCCAGCACGACCCCACCCCAGCACGACCACACCCCAGCACGACCACACCCCAGCAGGACCCCACCCCAGCACGACCCCACCCCAGCACGGCCCCACCCCAGCAAGACCACACCCCAGCACGACCACACCCCAGCACGACCTCACCACAGCACGACCACACCCCAGCACGATCACGCCCCAGCACGACCACGCCCCAGCACGACCACTCCCCAGCACGACCACCTCCCAGCACGACCACCCCCCCAGCACGACCACCCCCCAGCACGACCACCCCCCAGCACGACCACACCCCCACGACCACGCACACACCCCACACGACACCCCAGCACGACCCCACCCCAGCACGACCCCACCCGAGCACGACCACACCCCAGCACGATCACACCCCAGAACGACCACACCCCAGCACGACCCCACCCAAGCACGACCCCACCCCAGCACGACCACACCCCAGCACGACCACACCCCAGCAGGACCCCACCCCAGCACGACCACACCCCAGCACGACCTCACCCCAGCACGACCACACCCCAGCACGACCACGCCCCAGCACGACCATGCCCCAGCACGATCACGCCCCAGCACGACCACCCCCCAGCACGACCACCCCCCCAGCACGACCACACCCCAGCACGACCACACCCCAGCACGACCACACCCAGTCGCACCCCCGTGGAATGTTTCGTGGGGTGTCTCGTGGAATGTTTCGTGGGGTGTCTCGTGGAATGTTTCGTGGGGTGTCTCGTGGAATGTTTCGCGGGGTGTCTCGTGGAATGTTTCGTGGGGTGTCTCGTGGAATGTTTCGCGGGGTGTCTCCTGGAATGTTTCGTGAGGTGTCTCGCGGAATGTTTCGTGAGGTGTCTCGTGGGATGTTTCGTGAGGTGTCTCGTGGGATGTTTTGTGAGATGTTGCCCCGTTGGGTATCGTGAAAACGTGACCATGCTGCGCATGTCTATATCCCTTTCCGGGTTCGTGGGTCCATCATGTTTGACGACCTCGTCGGGGATTTCCGGGTCCCCTGTACCCGGGTCTTACGCCCCCCTGATCTTAGTAACAGTGACCACAGCCACCATCACCACTAGGGGGAGGAGGAGCAAAGTCGTCAGCGTCGGGGCCATCGTCGGCCGCCCCTCCGACCACCACGCCGCCGACCGCCTTTTCCCCTCGCCTTGCTCTCTTCTCTCCCCGCCGCGTCTCGCGGCCGAGGGCCCACTTGGCGCTCATGGGCCACCCCGTCGCCTGCGACGGCAAGTACACGTGCCTCGACACCTTCCTCGCCGATCTCCGCTGGTGCCCTAGAGCTGCAGAGCAGATGATGACGACGCCGGAGAGGAGGAACAGGAGCGGAGAAGAGGAGGAGGAGGACAAGGAGAAGGATCGGCGAACATAAGACTCGAGTTCGCCAGAACTCGGTGTTGACAACGCTGTCTGACGAGCCCGTTCTGGATTTTGACGGTCCAGCTTTCGTGGGACATTTGCATCGGGATTTCGCGTCAAATGTCAGACTGGGCCTCGTAATTGTCCTGACGGCCCCGTCAGGCCAACCCCAGACCTTCGAACCCGAGTCTTACATCTGCCCTAGAGGAGAAGAGGACAGGATACTATAAAGAGGAGGAGCAGCAGGAATTGGAAGTGGAGGAGGAGAAGGGAGGGGAGACGAGAGGAGAGGAGATGAGGTCGAGAACGAGAAAGAGGGTCGGACGAGGAGGAGCAGGAGGAGAAGAAGGAGGAGAGGAAAGGAGAGGAGACTATTGGAAAGGCGGGGGGAGCAGGAGAGGGAGGAGGAGGACAGGAAACGTGGAGCATGGCAAGTTCAAGTTGCTTTTGCATTATGGTTGCATTCTGAGTTATGGTTGTTGACCAAGGGGTGCGATTGTGATTACGATTGAAGGCGAGGGGGCGATGGGACAGGATAAGAGACGGGAGGAGAATGGTAGAACGCAACTGCAGGGGAGAGGGGAAGGTCGAAGTGGAGAGGAAGATGGGACAAGCTTGGTGCGCTCGCGCCGTATCTGACATCTAACCCGCCCATCATTTTCCCGGAAAGGGCGCCGGCCCAGGGTTCTCTTTTAGTAGGTAAACCTGTCCCCCGGTGCCAACTTGAGGGAGGCCGGCGAATTTTTTCCCTGATAAATAACGAGGTCGAAGGAGGCCGGCGAATTAAAATTTGAGGATGTCTCGAGCGAAACGCTTGTTTTTGAAATCCCGATCGATAAATCACAGGGTGCGGGCCACTTTTTCGTGTGTTGAGGATGTCTCGAGCGAAACGCTTGCTCCGCAGAGTTTGCCGAGGATGTCTCGAGCGAAACGCTTGTTTTGCAGAGCCGACCGCGACGCGGAAAAGCGCCCCGCGCGAAGGAATTTCGATGATGTCTCGACTAATTCCTTTGTTCCCGGAAAGGGCGCCGGCCCAGGGTTCTCTTTTAGTAGGTAAACCTGTCCCCCGGTGCCAACTTGAAGGAGGCCGGCGAATTTTTTCCCTGATAAATAACGAGGTCGAAGGAGGCCGGCGAATTAAAATTTGAGGATGTCTCGAGCGAAACGCTTGTTTTTGAAATCCCGATCGATAAATCACAGGGTGCGGGCCACTTTTTCGTGTGTTGAGGATGTCTCGAGCGAAACGCTTGCTCCGCAGAGTTTGCCGAGGATGTCTCGAGCGAAACGCTTGTTTTGCAGAGCCGACCGCGACGCGGAAAAGCGCCCCGCGCGAAGGAATTTCGATGATGTCTCGACTAATTCCTTTGTTTTTGTACGATTTCCTGGAATTTTGGCAGGATGTCTCGAGCGAAATGCACGACCCCACCCTAGCACGACCATACCCCAGCACGACCACACCCCAGCACGACCAGACCCCAGCACGACCCCACCCCAGCACGACCCCACCCCAGCACGACCATACCCCAGCACGACCACACCCCAGCACGACCCGACCCCAGCACGACCCTACCCCAGCAAGACCACACCCCAGCACGACCACACCCCAGCACGACACCACAGCACGACCACACCCCAGCACGACCACCCCAGCACGACCAGCACGACCACGCCCCAGCACGCACGACCACACCCCCAGCACGACAGCACGACCCCCCAGCACGACCACCCCCAGCAACCCCAGCAAGACCACACCCCAGCACGACCACACCCAGCACGACCTCACCCAGCACGACCACTCCCCAGCACGACCACCCAGCACGACCACGCCCCAGCACGACCACTCCCCAGCACGACCACCCCCAGCACGACCCCACCCCAGCACGACCCACGACCACACCAGCACGACCACCCCCCAGCACGACCCACCCCCAGCACGACCACACCCCAGCACGACCCCACCCCAGCACGATCACACCCCAGCACGACCCCACCCCAGCAAGACCACACCCCAGCACGACCGCACCCCAGCACGACCTTACCACAGCACGACCACACCCCAGCACGACCACGCCCCAGCACGACCACGCCCCAGCACGACCACGCCCCAGCACGACCACGCCCCAGCACGACCACGCCCCAGCACGACCACCCCCCAGCACGACCACCCCCCCAGCACGACCCCCCACGACCACCCCCCAGCACGACCACCCCCCAGCACGACCACACCCCAGCACGACCACTCCCCAGCACGACCACACCGCCTTGGTTGAGTGGTTGCCTGTCGTCGTGGAATGTTTCGTGGGGTGTCTCGTGGAATGTTTCGCGGGGTGTCTCGTGAAATGTTTCGTGAGGTGTCTCGTGGAATGTTTCGTGAGGTGTCTCGTGGGCTGTTTCGTGAGGTGTCTCGTGGGATGTTTCGTGAGGTGTTGCCCAGTTGGGTATCATGAAAACGTGTCCATGCTCCACATGTCTATATCCCTTTCCGGGTTCGTGGGTCCATCATGTTTTCATTGTGCTGATCTCCTCTATATCCGCCGATGGGTGTCATGACGGACCTGGACCCCCTCGTCACGGGACACCCATTGTGGCACACGCACTATGGACATCGAAGTTGTTCACATTGGAGAAGGTGGCGGATGAACAGGATGATGACCAGGAGGGAGAGGAGGAGGCGGAGGAGGAAAAGGAGGCGGAGGAAGAGGAGGAGGGAGGAGGAGGAGGAAGAATTGCAGCGTCAGGAGCAGAAGGAACGGGCGGGGCAGGAGGATCAAGGTTAGTTGGGGGAGGGGGGGCGAACGGGGCGACAGACCCTGGAATGATGCCCACACTGCAGCGAGAGCGCCATTTGAAACACCGAAAGCGCTCATACTGAAAAGCCATATAAGAGAATTGTCTGAGACCCGGCGTGTAAAACAAATCAGTACGTGGAGGGTGCGGGACATATTCGGGGCAGAGCCAGGGGAGAAGGGACATTATTTCTGATTGAGTAGTTGGAGAGGAGAAGGGAGGAGGGAGAGGCGGACGAGAAGAGACGAGTGAATATGATAAGTGATGGGGGGGAAGGAGAAGCGATGACTTTTGGTGGCGCAGGAGCGGGAGCGGGGGGAATGGGCAAAGGAGCAAGGAGTGGGAGGGGATAGCGAACCCGATGAAGATCCGTGGATAAGGACGTGGAGGAGGGGTGGCCATCTTCTCGCTGTGCCAAGCCTCCTCCTCACTTCTCCTCCCATCTCGTTATCCTCCCTCCCTCCCTCCCTCCTCCTCCTCCTCCCTCTTCCCTCCTCCCTAGGAAGAGCAGGTGGGGCAGCGGGAAAGACTGGCAGGGTGGCGGGGGGGCAGGAGGTCCATGATGACGACAGAGAGAGAGAGATATATATATATATAGAGAGAGAGAGAGAGAGAGAGAGAGCGAAAGGATGCGTTGAAATCCAAGGGTGAGAAGGAGAGGAGGGGGAAAGGGATCGGCAGAACCTCGGTGTCGGCCGTCTGCTCCCGCCTCTTGCGACCCCCCCCGCTCGGGGCAGTAACCAGGAGGGGAAAACACACACAGACGCAAATAATCGTCGACTCCCCGGAAGATATGAAGAATGTGGGAAGTAGTGGGGAAAGCGCAAGTCTAGAAAGGATGGACAAAATATGGAGGGGGCGGGTCCTGGGATTAGTGTTTATTTATTTGTGTATCCCTGGGCCCCTTTGAATAATGATGGTGAGGGAAAGGAGGCTGTGGTCAGGAACTTTTGCTTCGCGTGTTCCCCGCCAGTTCGGGCACACCAGGCTTCGGCGCGGCACGCTAAGCAGGTCTCAGCTCCAAAGCGTCAACGTCCCGAGCTTCTCCCAGCCTCCCATCCCATGAAGCAGGGCGACAGGGCATCAGCTTGCACTGCATAGCGCGTCGCAGGGGCCACCGCCGTGACACTGAGAAACATCTCTTGATCGTAACAGATGGGAGAGGGGCAGGAGGGTGAACAGAAGGACGATCAGGGAGGAGGAGGAGGAGGAGGAGGAGGAGGAGGAGGAGGAGCAGGAGCAGGAGAAGGAGCGGGAGCCGGAGCACGAGGAGGAGACGGAGCACGAGGAATGGAAATATAAGCCAGGTCGAGCGACGAGTCAGCCAGCCACGCCCGCACGCACCGCCCCTCTTTACGTCAGGAGCAGATGCCAAGCCAATGTGATCTCCGACGTTGCGCACCTTCCCACCTAGCAACTGGGGGGCGCTCGCGCGCGGTCTCGCTCAGACGCCCTGGCGAGGCGGCGGTGGGGAGCACAGGCTGGGCAGGTGCGGGGCCTCGTAGCCTGTCCAAGAACACGTTGTGCGGCGCTGCGGCGAGAGCACCATGCAGCCGTCTCGCGCGCGGCCAATTTTTCCCGGAAAGGGCTCCGGCCCAGGGTTCTCTTTTAGTAGGTAAACCTGTCCCCCGGTGCCAACTTGAAGGAGGCCGGCGAATTTTTTCCCTGATAAATATCGAGGTCGAAGGAGGCCGGCGAATTAAAATTTGAGGATGTCTCGAGCGAAACGCTTGTTTTTGAAATCCCGATCGATAAATCACAGGGTGCGGGCCACTTTTTCGTGTGTTGAGGATGTCTCGAGCGAAACGCTTGCTCCGCAGAGTTTGCCGAGGATGTCTCGAGCGAAACGCTTGTTTTGCAGAGCCGACCGCGACGCGGAAAAGCGCCCCGCGCAAAGGAATTTCGATGATGTCTCGACTAATTCGTTTGTTTTTGTACGATTTCCTGGAATTTTGGCAGGATGTCTCGAGCGAAATGCACGACCCCACCCTAGCACGACCATACCCCAGCACGACCACACCCCAGCACGACCAGACCCCAGCACGACCCCACCCCAGCACGACCCCACCCCAGCACGACCATACCCCAGCACGACCACACCCCAGCACGACCCGACCCCAGCACGACCCTACCCCAGCAAGACCACACCCCAGCACGACCACACCCCAGCACGACCTCACCACAGCACGACCACACCCCAGCACGACCACGCCCCAGCACGACCACGCCCCAGCACGACCACGCCCCAGCACGACCACCCCCCAGCACGACCACCCCCCCAGCACGACCACCCCCCAGCACGACCACCCCCCAGCACGACCACACCCCAGCACGACCACTCCCCAGCACGACCACACCCCAGCACGACCACACCCCAGCACGACACACCCCAGCACGACCACACCCCAGCACGACCACACCCCAGCACGACCCGATCGATAAATCACAGGGTGCGGAGCACCCCAGCACGAACCCACCCCAGCACGACCCCACCCCAGCACGACCCCACCCCAGCACGACCACGCCCCAGCACGACCACACCCCAGCACGACCACACCCCAGCACGACCACTCCCCAGCACGACCCCACCCCAGCACGACCCCACCCTAGCACGACCACACCCCAGCACGACCACACCCCAGCACGACCCCACCCCAGCACCCAGCACGACCCCACCCCAGCAAGACCACACCCCAGCACGACCGCACCCCAGCACGACCTTACCACAGCACGACCACACCCCAGCACGACCACGCCCCAGCACGACAGCACGCCCCAGCACGACCACGCCCCAGCACGACCACGCCCCAGCACGACCCCCCAGCACGACCACCCCCCCAGCACGACCACCCCCCAGCACGACCACCCCCCAGCACGACCACACCCCAGCACGACCACTCCCCAGCACGACCACACCGCCTTGGTTGAGTGGTTGCCTGTCGTCGTGGAATGTTTCGTGGGGTGTCTCGTGGAATGTTTCGCGGGGTGTCTCGTGAAATGTTTCGTGAGGTGTCTCGTGGAATGTTTCGTGAGGTGTCTCGTGGGCTGTTTCGTGAGGTGTCTCGTGGGATGTTTCGTGAGGTGTTGCCCAGTTGGGTATCATGAAAACGTGTCCATGCTCCACATGTCTATATCCCTTTCCGGGTTCGTGGGTCCATCATGTTTGATGAGAGTGGCGAAGACAAATAACGAGTGCGTCGCGCCGAAGCAGCACTACCACGTGCACTCGGAATCTTGGCGTTGTGGCGAGAACTACATTTCGCCAGCTCGCGCGCGGTCTTGGTCCTGTTTTCCGACGACCGTTCGGGCGAGAGCTACACTTTCCCTGCTCGCGCGCGACCCCGTTGACAACGATTTGGCGAGCGAAACATGCGCGCCGTTCGCAAGAGAGAGAGAGAGAGGTCAAATCTCAGGAAACATGAGCGCGGCGCCAAGGCGAGAGCGACAGTTCACTCTTTCGCGAACGATGCGCGCAGCGCTCCATTTCTGCCACTCGCCACGACACACAACCCCGAGTAGAGTGACAAAACGAAGATGTTGTTTTGGTATCGATGTGCAGGATGCCCCGTCCCCCCCACCCCCCTGGATGGGCTAGCATTGACAGACTAGGTGGCAGAAGGGGGGTGCATCCAAACACAGAGGAAGGATGGGACGGAGGAGAGAGAGGAGTCCTTTGCGCCAGCAGGGTTGCATCAACTTGTGCCCGCAAGCTTTGCCAGAGAGCTAGCATAGGCTTCTTGAGCAGGCCCTTTTCTCCGTGACGACATTGACTGCGTTTCGCCCCGTGGCTCATTCCTCCCGCAAGCCAGGCAACGCTCACCAGTTGGCTACGGATAGCGATGCCACGCCACGGGGGGGAGGCGGCGCACACCCGAGCACACAGCGACCGTGCAGGCGACCATAGCGAGAGGTCTGCACGAGCAGCGCTGCCCGCTACTGGCAATACACCAGAGCAGCCAAAACATGGCCGCCCTCACTCCGAGGGACTGCTGCAGCCTACTCCAGATTTCGTAATAAAGGGAGGGGGGTCTCATTTCGGGGGGGGTCTCTTCCAGGCTATCTTGGAGGGCCTGAGGGGGTCTGGGGGCGATGTTTTGGAGGGTTCTCCCACAGGGGGGGGGGGTCTGGAATGGCTCGTCTTGGAGGGTCCAGACCCCCTCCCTTTTATTACGAAATCTGGAGTAGCATTCTGATCCTCCACTCGGCCCATCGCGGTTCTCAGCACACATCGCAGGCAGGCCTAGCACAGCTGCTACTGCTGCGGCGAACATCACCGACCAGGAAGCCGACGCCAGCCAGCTGGACATCACCGACATGACACGCGGTGATGTCCGTTGGGCCATGTGCTGCTCATTCCAGCCTTCGCCAGCGGCGGCAATGTCAATCCGCACGGACCCGGCCCGAAGGGCAACCTTTGCCACCCTGGCACATTGCAGTGAGCTCCATACGGAGCCGCGCGCACAGAGCAGACGCACGAGAAGGGATCACGAGATCGAAGGGCCCAGAAGGAGGAGCCACGAGAAGGAGAGCCCGGAGGAGGAGCTTCCGGGGAGGATCTACTCGGAGCAACTACCAGGCCACAACGGGCGCAGAGACAACCGCGCTTCGCGCGTCGCGGCCGGGGCCGCTGAGTTGGCCTTCTCCACGGGGCGGCGCGAAGGCGCGAGGGTAATCACGCATCGCGCGGCGCGATCTGCAAAATTGGGCGACCTGTCACCAGGAAGATGAGCCACGAAGAGAGGAGGTGGTTGAGCAGCCGGGAGGAGGAGGAGGAGCGCGGTGGACGAGGGGGAGGAAGAGGAAGAAGAGCAGGAGGAGGAGCCAGAGAAGGAAGTTGAGAGCCAGAGGGGGTATGTGAGGAATCTTGACCAGGCACTGGCAAACCTCCTCAGGTGCCCACGCAATTTCCTGCACCGCTACTGCCTGGGCTTCTCGGACTTGGGGCGTGGACGGAGGTTGTGGAGGAATCGGCGAGGGAAGGAGGGAGCGAGCGACCGAGCTAGGGAGCGAGCGACCGAGCTAGGGAGCAAGGGGATGGGATGGGGGATGAGGAAGAAGAGACGGAACAGGAGGAGGAGGAGGAGGAGAAGGAGGAGGAGGAGGAGACACAGTACCAGCAGGAGAGGGAATGGCAGGAACGCGAGGTGGGGAGAAACCCACGGTCTGGCGAGATGCGCGGTGGGGAGAGGCTAATGTTGCTCTTCCCTCCATTCCCTGCCATACTCCCATCCCCGTCGCTCCCTTTCTCCCTGTCGTCATCATCCCCTTCCTCATGGGCCTCTTTCCTCCTTTCTCCTCCTCCTCCTCCCCTTCCTCCTCCGCCCCCTCCTCACTGGAAGGGTCCCTCCCCACCGGAAAGATGATGCTGCCTCGGCTTGGCTCACTGCCTGTCGGTGCCAGTTGTGCAATTGGAGGTGGAAGTGGAGGAGGGGGAGCATGGCGAGCAGGAGAAGGATCGACAGGAACAGCGGGAGGAGCGGAGGAGGGTTTGGGGAGGAACCCTCCTCCTCTTCCTTCTCCGTAACCGTTGTTGGCTCTAGACGACTTTTTTGACTTGCGGCTCAAGCGAGCCAAGGCATGACTTGATTCATTTTCCTCAATATTGTTCTCGCACGTGGAGTGTTTGTTGTTCGGTCTCTATGGACGAGGCGAGTGGCCATGTCTCCTCGCTGGTTGGTCGAGCGCTGCGTCTTGTATCTTCTGCGATTGGTCGCCACTACTCGGGACTCGACGTGCTTGCTTTGAGGCGTCGGTTCAAACATATATCTGTTACACGCCAGTTCCTGAGGCACCACACTGACGCTTGGGACGAAGATTGTGTGACGAAGCTTGAAACGCAGCTGAAGGTATGTTCCTGGATTCGTTTCTCCACCCTTGGTTTGTATGCGGGGGTTCTCTGGCCAGCGACCTCCGGAAGGTGGTTTGGATCAGATGGCTTTGAAGTTCCAGCCGCGGGCAACACCACCACAGTGTTTGTACACGTCTGGTTCGCTACAACGCAGGTGCTGTATGGTTCTCAGCTGGCAGCGTATTACAAATTTGGCCCATGATCAAAACAAATTGGTTACGTCGTCCCGAGCGGTTTCAGACAAACTTGCAGCGGATGTGCAGTCCACTCCGTCGGATCCTTCTTCTGCCGCATCGGGATCGTCATGTGAGGAGCCTGCGAGTGACCCTACATAATACCATGGTGTTTAAAGTGGCAGGGAAGCTTTTTACTCTGAGGCAGCACGCTCATGCCGATATTGAGCACAAGCTTGATGATCTCACTAGAGTGATTGATCGTAGTATGCAGAACACGCTGTGAGAACAGCTTTCTACACTGTAGCATTCGACGGTTGGCGCTTTACCTGGTACGATATCCTAAGTCGGGCAACGTCCTGCGCAGATGTGCTGAATAAAGCGACGATGCCCCACCTCGAGCATCTGTATGAGCAGGTCTCTACGCTGTCGGAGAGAGTTGACGCAAGCATGGGTTCGTTGTCACCTGTTGGCAGAGCGGGCAACACGGACTACGTCGAGCAGATTGCCGAGGACATACGTGAAGAGCATGGGCATCGTTTCCAGGCCATCGAGCCGAAGTTGGGGCTGTTTGGGGAAAAGCTGGACGGTGCCACCGCCGCGCCGCCCCGCATGCAGTCGAACAGCCGTGGGCCCAGAGCTCGTGCCTCTAGCACTACGCGAGCGGTGGGACTGGTCGTCGCTAGGGACGTGACTATCATAGGCGAGACTGCGTTTTCTCTCATTCAAATGGGCGGTTGTTCGACGAAGCCCCTGTGCAGCCCGCCTCACCTGGTGCGCATCCGCAGGCAGTATCTTCTACTGGTGCGCCTCCGCGCATCGAGCAGAAACTGAAGCCGATCGACCGTTCCAAGTTTGGCTACCTGGGCATTGATGACACCGTGGACGATCTCACGCAGCACTTTCTTGTTGGCATCCTGCGGGGAAGGCTTCCGCCCTTCCGGTGGGTGGACTAGTCGCGGGTCGTCTGCATCATCCTGTCCTTTTGTGTTCATTGGGGCTACTATTTCAGGGGCTTCTGCCTCCGCTCAATCTCCGCGAAGCAGAGGGCCGAGCATCTCCCGAGGTTAGGGTAACAAACATCTTCCGAACGCTGTGCCTCCTCATCCTTCTCTTCCTCTTCATACATGTCCTCCTTCTTCCACTTCTCCCCCTCCTCCGTCTCCTCCGCTTCCGCCTCCTTCTCCTCCTCTCCTTCTTCTCCCAGCGTGAGCAGGGGCAGCAGGACATGGAGCAGGAGCAGCAGCAACAGCAGCCGCAGCAGTGTGAGAGAACGTGTTCCGGTCCGGCGAACGAACGGGGCGCGCTGTGGCTGGCAATGGCAGGAGCGCGGGGGGGGGGGGGGGAACCTCGAGGGCGAAGCGCGGGGAGGGGAGGGTCCGTGGAGAAGGGGGGGGAGGGGCACAGAGGAAAGGAAAGGAGGAGGGGAAAACGAGGGGGATTCGATTGGGATGCAACTGACCTGATCGACCTCACAGTGAGCACGAGTCCAGCCCGACGGTGTGGAGAACGCCCACCCTCAGGCCTATCCTGGGCGATGAGGGTGGCCTCACGTTGGCCTCTCTTGCAAGCCTTGCGCACTGTAGGCGAGGACGTCGGCTCCAGCTACTCTCCCCGAAATTGTGGCGATCACCAGGGGAGGGGGGAAGGGGAGGGTCTGAGGGAAAGGGATGGAAGAATGTGGGAAGGGCAGAAGATGGGAAGGGCGGGCGGGCGGGATGGTGGATTGGGGGGGGGACAGGGAGGATGAGGAGGTGGAGGGCGACGAGGAGCAGCGACGAGGAGTACGACCATGGGTCAAGCTAGCCATGCCGAGCGAGTCAGAGGGCCCCGCCTGTTCCCACCCTCACTCCCGCAACGCAGGAGTCAATTTTGGCACAGCTTGGTACTCAGAATCGAAGGCGCCACCACCCAGCGAACGCATGGCCCTCGCGCGCGGCCCCGTTTCCGACGGCCGGCGACGGGAAAGCCGCGCGGGGCGCGCAATGGGCGGGAACGGCACGACTTCCGAGGAGCGCGGAGAGGACACGGCATGCGCTGCGCCGACATAGCGATACGGTAGGCTCGCGTCGTGTCGACCGGCGGCGACCCCGCCGCGGGCGTTCAAGGTTGAACGCCGCCAGTGGCCCAGAATCGGCCTATATGGAACGATCGGGCGCTCGAAGAGCCACCGATCGTTCAAGGTGGAACGATCCCCGCGGTGTCAGAAACCAGCGCCAGGGTCGACACGACACGAACCTGCCGTACCACTTTCACTCACCACCTGCGTGGCGTTTGGGCGATGTCGGCATTTCGCCCGCTCCGGCGCCGCCCCGCTGCCGGCCTCGCTTTTTCCTGCGATGCGGCGAGCGAGCCATTTGCGCCGCGCCGGCGTGGGAACGCCGCTTCCGAACAGAATGCTCACGGAGCGTGGGCGGGGGCCACAAGTTGCCCGCTCTCGCGGAGCCGAGCAGCACCGGCGAGCGTGATCTGCGCGCCGCGCCAGAGCGGGAACGCCCCTTCCGGGCGAAGGCTGCGCGGCGCCGCGGCGAGAACGACACGTTCGCCCGCTCGCGTCGACGAATGTGGCGTGGGAAGAGAGCGCGGGCCGCGCCCCAGCCCGATCCCAGTTCTGTGGGGAGGCGGTCGCGGCGCCGAGGCGAGAGCAGCATGTTGTCCTCGTGCGCGGGATGCGCGCCCCGTCCCACTGGCGTCACCCATGTTGGCAACGCGGACGACGTAATGTTGGCTATTGGATAAGAGGGGACTGTCAACGTGCACGGTGCTCACATCTTGCATGGGACCTTGGGATTGGCTGGATGTCGGCTGGCTACGCGGAAGAGTGGAAATATATACAAATGAGGAACATGGGACCGTATGACAATGACACAGCCAACGAATGCTGACATATCGCGACGGAATACGCATGGTGGCGCCGAGCTCGCGACCCTGCTACACTTCAAACCTCAAGTCATAAACCTTTTGGTTTTCCTGTCGACCTGTTCCGCCTTGGTGGGGCAACTTTACGGGACCAAACACAACCTAAGCCCCAGGCGCCACAGCAGCACACCCGCAGAGTGCACAACGCGACGCATGTAGTTCGGTATGTATGGCACTGGATTGCATGGATGGACCCACCCAGCCCCCGCAAGACTTCACGGAGCCAGGCTGGGGCTTCACCTGAATGACCCCGTGGCCATTCCCTGGTTGAGAACATCTTCTTGGCGCCCGGCTGTGGCAGGCGGAGGGAGGAGGGAGGAGGAGGAGGAGGAGGAGGAGGAGGAGGAGGAGGAGGAGGAGGAGGAGGAGGAGGAGGGAGGAGGGACGGGAGGAGGGAGGAGGGAGGAGGCGGGGGGGGGGGAGGAGGAGTGATACGGCACAAGGGGCGGCGATGAACGCGCAGGCGACTGCAAGCGTCATCGCCCTCCCGTCGCCGCCGGGGCCGTCGCACCCGCCGCCGCCGACCCGCCGCCGTCGCCAGCGTCGTCGACCCCGCCGCCGCCCGCCGCCGCCCGCCATCGCCCGTCGCCGCCGCCGCTCGTCGGCCGCCGTTGCCGGCCGTCGCCCGTCGTCGCCGCCGCTCGTCCTCGCCGCCGTCGTCGCCGCCGCCGCCGCCGGCGCCCGCCGCCAACGCCGCCGCTCGATGCCGCCGCGTGTCGTCGCCATCCGCCGCCGCCGCCGCCGCCCGCCGCCGCCCGCCGCCCCCGAGCGGCAGGACCTGGACGGGGCGGCCGTGGCCGCGTCGTCGCCGCCGCCGCCCGACCTGCTCGGGGTGCTGCGGCGCCTCCGCCCGCGCGGCGGCCTCGAGGCCTGCCCGCCGCGGCGCTGGGGGCCACCCTCTCGAGGGCTGGTCTCCTGCCTCGCCCTCCCACCGTTTTCGGCATCCAGTGGAGGGCATCCGACAGGACGGTGGCACAGGTCCCCGTGGAGGCACGGGCGTGTGCGGGCGGGCCGCGGCTCGTTCTCGTCGCGAGCCCGTGATAGGGTCGGAGGGGAAGAAGGAACCAGCCGTGGAGTCTGGGAGACACAAGGAGGGGGAGGAGGGGAAGGAGGAGGATCAAGGATCGAGGATCGAGACGCTCTTGGCCGTTCCGATAGACTTGGGATCGAGGAGTGAGGAACGGTGATCGAGGCCACCCTCTCGAGAGGGGCTTCGAGCACGCTGGGCTTCCCGGATGGGGTCGGAGTGGATGGGGTCGGAGGAGTGCGCCGCATCACCGAAGCATCGGCAATGTTTCTCGATGTGCGGCCCGATCTTCTCCACGTCGACGGCGCTGATGCTTTACACATTTCGCCGATGCATTGCCGATGCATCGACGATACAGCGCTATTTTCGAACCCCATATGCCAGACCCCATTTGGGAGGCTTCTAAGCTCTAAGCACCGAATCTCTGACGAGGTGATTTGTTCATCTCGGGCGTTTGATTTAAATTGATTTTTGCCTCTGGGCCACAGGAGCAGAAATGGATTTTGGGCGGCACATTCCCCCGTGGACCGGAGCCCTGGGGCGGCGCATTGAATGATCCCGGCGCGACCCCAAGCAGGGGAAAGTTTATTGCATGGGCGCTTCGTTCGGTGCATCGCTTTGCGTTGCTTGACGTTGCTTGGCATTGCTCGGCATTGCTTGGCATTACTTTGCATTGCTTGGCACTGCTTGACATTGCGTGGCATTGCTTTGCATGGGTTGGCATTGCTTTGCGTTGATTGGCTTTGCTTGGCATTGCTTGGCATTGTTTGGCATTGCTTGGCGTGGCTTGGCATTGCTTGGCGTAGCTTGGCATTGACTGGCATTGCTTTGAACTGCTTGACATGTCTTGGCACTGCTTGACTGCTTGACATGGCTTGGTACTGCTTTGCATGTGCTGGCGTCGCTGGCATTGCTTGGCATTGTTTGTCACTGCTTGACACTACGTGGCATTGCTTTGCATGGGTTGCAATTGTTTTGCATTGATTGGCGATGCTTGGTATTGCTTATGCCAGGGAACCCGAGAAACAGAGAAACAAGAGCGGGGACCCCGAGGAACCAAATCAAGTTACAAGACCAGGGAAGCCGGGGAACCCGAGGAACCTCCGAGGAACGGGCAACGTAAGAATACGAACCCGAGGAACCTGGGGAACCCGAGGACCCTCCGGGGAACGCGCAACTTGAGAATACGAGGCACTGGGGGCTTGGAAGCCGAGGAATCCTGGGAACCCGAGGAACCTCCGGGGACCGGGCACAGCAATAATACCAGGCACCAACCTTTAACCAAGAAAGAACCCATTAGGCAAACATAATTGGGGAAAACGCTCACGCGCACACACACACACACACACACACGTAGCCGGATGTCTTGTTATCGAGGGGAGAACGGGGGAATGCAACGACCCCCGATCGCCCACTCACCGGCGATAGGGGCCTGGCAATGTTGTGCATCGCGGTGCCGCCGATCCCAGATATTCGTTTCGGTGACGATGCGGTCCGATCCGACGCACGTTTCGATTCGAATCGATTTCCCGGTCTGATGCTGGTTGATCCCCCCCGCCCCCTAGAGCCCAGAGAGGGAGGAGGGTAGGGGAGGCGAAGGAGAATCGGCCAGTAGGTCCCCCCTGACCCCACCCCCCTAGGGTCTGGAGTCGGGAGGAGGATCGGATCGGATCGGATCGAGCTGTATGCCCATCGTCAGCCCGGGAAAGCAGCACACGAAATGACGCGCTCTGCGCGAGGCAATTGTGCAAAGACCACAATCGGATACACCCAATCATTACGAGGAGGAGGGCCGAGGACAAGGACGATGATCGAGAAAAAGGCCTCCCCTTCTTCTTTGGCCTTGTGCTGTGGGTGCCTCCTCGTGCAGGCTGACGAGCTTCTTTGCTCTGACAGCAGCCTGTTGCGCGCAGCTCGTGTAGCATAACGTTGGAAGGTCCGTGTTCATGATGATAGTCACCCGGAAAGCATGGCCATCACGTGGGTCGGGGGGGGTCCGAGCCATGTCCACTTCAGTAGCCACATCAAATGAGAAACCAGCTTGACGGCATGCATCCCATGGAAACTCATGATTCCCCGATGACCCCATGGATCCAACAAAGTTATGGGGCACCCTATTTGGGACCTTCAAGAATGTGAGGACCTTCAGAAATCTACGAATAACCCAGTTATATCGCGATGTATTATCTAAAGACTGCCGCCTCTGCCGCCGACCCCAATTGAGCGACGTATGTTTGATTCGTTTGTTGTCGGGTGCCTTTCCGAGTACGACAGGAAGGGTTCAGGTGAGACATCCAGGCCTGAGCCTCGCCCTCTGGACTCATGATTCTCTGTTGCACCTCGGTCTCCTCTCTATCGAATGGCCTTCCCGCCACTGTGCCTAGGTTGTAGGTATGAAGCCTATTGGATGTTCGTTGGGATTTCGTGGTGGACCTTTTTTTGAGGCCTCCTGGGGTCAGTTTTGCGGCCACTTGGATGCAGATTTGAGGCCTCTTCGGGGCAGTTTTGGAGCCTCTTGGGGTCGCTGTTGGGTCCCTTGGGGGCCTCTTGGAGCCTCTTCAGGCCTCTTGGGTGCCTCTTGGGGCTCCTGGGGCCCTCTTGGATGCCTCTTGGGCACTCCTGGGGTGGTGTTGGGGACCTCGGGCCGTCTGGAAGCGTCGGAAAGGAAACAGGCGAGAACGCCAACATTTTTCAAGCAACGAAGGCAAGTCAATGGTTTTTGCCTCTCAGGGTTCTCTTGGGAGGCATCTTCGAGGCCTCTTGGGGCATCTTGGAGGCCTTTTGGGCCATCATGAAGCCATGTAGGGCGTAGGCACCCGCTGTTCCGAAACAGTCGCGCGAGAAACCGCGAGAAGCCCCAGGAGAAGATTTCGCGATGTGGGGTCTGGGTCTCTGAACGACTCTTCAATAATGAAGACTGAGGTTGAGAGGATGATGGAAGGACCTGAGGGCGCGCCCACTCCGTACCCAGAGGCACGGTGGCGGATCTACATAACCATGAACATCTGATGATCATGGTTCTGACGGATCGCATCGCATTCCCGAGCTCCAATGGGGGAGCCGCCTGAGGGTATTTCCCCACATCCAAAGTGGGGTTCTTGTTTTCTCTGCACACCCCGCGCAGGAACACTCACCCCACCCCCTCTCCTCTTCTGCCTTCGCACACTCACTCACTCACTCATCACTCACTCATCATCATCATCATCATCATCATCATCATCATCACCACTCATTCACACTCACAATCACTCACACTCTCTCATCATCAACATCAGCATCATCACTCGCGCTCTCTCACACGCTCAGTCACTCCCATACTCATCATCATCATCATCATCATCATCATCATCATCATCATCATCATCACTCGCACTCTGTCACACGCTCACTCATTCACATACTCACCTGGAGGAAGTCTCAGGCGGGAGTTCGTCTGTGAGTGAATTGTGAGGAAGTCTCAGGCGGGAGCCCCCTCCCTATGGGGCCCGCAGATCATGTTGGTAATCCGAGCGGGTCATCCAAACCCTGTAACTGTCGTCACTTTTGGGCTCCTCAAGCTTGAGTACGGAGGAAGTCTCAGGCGGGAGCCTCGTCTGTGAGTGAATTGCGAGGAAGTCGCAGGCGGGAACCCCTCCCTATGGGGCCCGCGCTTCATGTTGGTAATCCGAGCGGGTCATCCAAACCCTGTAACTGTCGTCACTTTTGGGCTCTTCAGGCCTGAATTTGGAGGAAGTCTCAGGCGGGAGCCTCGTCTGTGAGTGAATTGTGAAGAAGTCTCAGGCGGGAGCCCCCTCCCTATGGGGCCCGCAGATCATGTTGGTAATCCGAGCGGGTCATCCAAACCATGTAACTGTCGTCATTTTTGGGGTCTCGCGCTGCCAGAACGCCATTCCCGGGCCACATTGTGCATGCCCGGAGCCAACTGTAGGCCACTTCGTGTTCTTAGTGTTCCCAGAACACCACTCCCGGGCCACATTTTGAAACCCCGGAGCCAACTGTAGGCCACTTCGTGTTCTTCCTGTTCCCAGAACACCACTCCCGGGCCACATTCTGGATGTCCGGAGCCAACTGTAGGCCACTTTGTGTTCGTCGTGTTCCCAGAGCGTCATTCCCGGGCCTGGCATGGGCATCTACTGGGAAACGCTTGCGAGGTGGATGAACACGCGTGCTCGTCGCGACGCTCGGCGTCTGGGCGTGCCCCTCATTTTCCTGCAGGCCGTTGACGAGTGCGGCACGATTCAGGGCGATCCCGACGCGGGTCGGCGCCTCCTGAACGTCCCGAACATGCACAAGACGGGGGACATCCACGGCGTCTTGCCGGCCCACGTCGGCATGGAGGTGCGGTTCACGGCAGCGCAGGAAGAGCTGAAGAAGAAGTTGGGGCTCGTGCAGGAGCAACGGGCCACCATCGTGTCTTTCGAGTTCCACCGCGAGGACGAGCAGCGGCACGAGGAGTGCTCGGCAGGCCAGCCCTGTCGCCCCCGCTTCCTACCGCAGGGAATCTGGCTGCAGGTGCACGGCTTCAAGGAGTCTCCGATCTACCAGGAGGTCGCCGAGGTGCTGCGACAGGGCGCCGAAGACGCCGCGACGACGGCCAGGCCGAGGCGCGGGCGCGGAGTTTGCTGATGTTCAGGCCCAGCGAAAAGGAGTTCACATGGCAGAGCTCGGGGCCGCACAACGTGCGCCGCTCGGGGTTCACCCTGACCCACGCGTCCTACCTGACCTCCACGCTGTCGCAGGGCCAGACGCTGCGCAAGGGCGTCACCGTCGACTGCGCGAGAGACGAGGACGCTGGCCGCACGGGCATGTCTGACGAGCAGCGGTGGCTGCACCTTTACGTC